CGCGAACCCTCCCTAACCCACCGCCGGGTGCTGGCAGATGGCTCGCGGCGTGGCGGTGGCCAGGTCCCAGAAGACCAGCGCGCCGTCCAGCGCGGCGCTGGCCGCCGCGCCCGGCAGCGCCGGCACCCAGGCGACGGCCTCAACCCCCGCCCGCTCGCCCTGGTCCTCGTGACCGGGGCGGGCGGGGTCGGTGACCAGGGTCGCGCCGACGCGCCCCGTGCCCAGCGACACGACCTTGGCCGCGCCGTCCTCAGAGCCGGTGAGCGCCGAGGCGCCGTCGGGCGACAGCGCCAGGCACGTCACGCCTGCGGCGTGGAAGGGGTGGCCGGACACGCTGGCGGTGCAGGCCCCGGAGCGCGGGTCCCAGACGCGCAGGCTGGCGTCGCCCTCGCCGCCGGCGGTGACCACGGCGCGGCCGTCGGGGGTGAAGGCGCCGGCGGCCACAGGAGCGGTGTGCCCGGAGAAGGTGGCCATCCAGGCGCCGCGCCGGCCCTCCCACATCCATGCGGAGAAGTCGGCAGTGCCGGCCAGCACCACGTCGCCGCGCGGGTGCCAGGCCACCCACTCCACGGCGTCGCCGGGGCCGTCCAGGGTCTGCAGGCAGGCCCCTGTCTCCGTGTCCCAGACCTTCACCACGCCTGTGTGGAGTGTGGAGCGGGGTGCAAGGATGTCCTGGACGCGCCTGGGAAGGGTTGCGGGGGTCCACACCTGAGGGTGCCGTCGAGATGGCTCTTGACACCCCCCCAACCCATCGTCAAGCCCCACCGTCCATGCCGCCAGAGGCCAGGAGGCTGCCGTCGTGGTTGAAGGCCAGCGACGCCACGGTGTCCTCATGCCCGTCCAGCTGGAAGAAAGCGCCGCCAGTTTCCTCAAACGCATCGTGCCCTACCTGCAGGGAGCAGGGCGCCAGGCAGGGGCTGGGCACGGGGCGCATCCTGTGTCTGGCGGTGAGGAGGCGCACAGGCCGAGGGCCACAGCCATGCATCCGCTCGATCCAGGCCCTCCCGGGCGCTCTCCTCCCAGCACGCCTCACCCGCCACAGGAAGGCCTTGTCGTCCGCTCCCCCGGTAGCGACGAGGTCCTTCTTGGTGGGACACCAGGCCACAGCGTATACGCCATCTGCACGCGGCACGGAGGCAGGGTTGCACGCCCAGGTATGCCTCTCCCTGCGCAGACCATGTCAGCCCCAGCCCAGCTGGCCAATCAACGAGAGAATCTCAGGCAAACTCCACCGCCTGCCCACCTTGATGCCCCTCGAACGTGTGTATAGAGTCGTCCTCGTACTCTGCAGCATCCACGCCTGTGGAGCCCGCTTCGTCGTCGCTGGAGTCGGAGATGCCCCCTGCAGCAAAGGGCAGCGCAGGATGCTCGACTGCAAGATAATTTTGCACACAATATACATAATGTTCGTGCCTGCGCCTCAGGTACCTTGATCTCCGTCGTCAAGGTCATGGACCTCCTGGGCATCCCCAATGTCGCCCTCTGCGACGCCAATGAATTGTGCTTCCTCTGGTTCCCGCGCCATTTAATCAAGCGAGTTTTCATGTGCAATATGGTAATGGTGTACTATTCATGGTCTGCGGATGGTATGACCGTGGAGGTGCGCGGCATGAGGAGGAAGACCCGACAGCAAAGCATGCGAAACCTTCCACCGAGCATGTCAGCATCACTGTTACAATCACTGCGAAGGGGCCACCTGTTCTGACAGATTGCTTATCGGGGCATAATTATGAGGTCCTTTCTAGGCAGTGGTGTGTCTTTCTGCACAATACCCTGCTCCGTCGACGGTGGGTCCCGTCTCGGAACCGTATCCGGGGAGCGGCCCCCCCACCCCCTCCGAAGCACACTGTGTTCCCCTTAGCAGTACCCCAGAGACATTACCATGTACAGCGTCGCCATTCTCGGGGCATTGCTCGTCTTCCTGGGGTCGGAGAAGAGCTTCGTGCACTTCAGGTGGGTCTGCTCGTTGGGGGGGCCGGGGACAGGGACCAGGCATGGTGTCGGACGGTGTGGGTGACCTACAGCACCTGGCGTGCCCCATCGACTGGGGTTTGCAGCTGCCATACCATGCGTCGGGTGCCTTGGGTGGTCAGATCGCGGCATGGCGCTCGGCGGTGCGGAAAGTAGTTGCCTCATTGACAAGCGCCAGCAACCCGCCCTCGACGCTCACTCCTTGTCAGTCGCACCGCGCGCCGGGTGTTCTGGTACCTCCTGAGCTGCGCCCTGGGCCTGTGGCTGGTCCGTTGGCTGCAGACCCTGGAGGGGATGAGCATGCTCTGGGTCTTCCTGTCTGCGGTGAGGCTGCTGTTGTAGGGCAGGGTTGGCATGGTTACTGGCTTGCTAATAGTGTGACTTGCTGGCCCGCCGCTGGGGTTACCTGACCTCACTTGCATCAGCAGCTGGGCGATTCCGGACTCGCGCCTGAGGTCTGCCTCAATGGGCACCTTGATCCCCTGGCATCCTCTCCTCGTCGGAGATCGCTCATGGGCTGTGGTTTCGCAGGAACCCCAATCCCAGCCCGCCGCACCAAATTCCTCCCCATCCTCCCCTGCTTCCCCATGTCACTCTCACCCTGGATTCCCCTTCCCCCCAACAGGTCCTGGCTGCCTCGGTGGTGGAGGACGAGGTGAGCAAGGCTAGGGGCTTGGTCATCCTCGACAACGAGGCGTGCCGACGCCAGCGCGCCGCGCTGCGCACGCCCGCCGCCCAGGGCCTGGCGGAGCGGGTGATGGACCTCGTGGCAGCGGTGACCCGCGGCCAGGGCTACACTGCCGGCACGGTGCAGCTGTTGGGCGAGCTGCGCGGCACCACGCGCCGCCTCCGTGCGGGCCTGCACGCCGCGCTGGCCGGCGCCGGCGCCGACGAGCTCAACTACGTGCTCACCGCCGTCAACGCGCCCGCGCTGCTGGAGGTGGTGGCGCCGGAGACGGTCACCGTGCTGGTGCGGGGGCGTGTGGCGGCGCTGACCACCGTGTCGCGCTCCGTCCTGGTCGACGCCTTCCAGAAGCTGGGCCTGCGCCACCGCACGAGCCGCCAGGCCGCAGTGCGCGACGTGCTGCTGGCCACGCGGGGGCTGGACCTCACCCGCCTCAAGGCCTACATCGACGACGGCGGGGACTACCACTCCTGCTACAAGCTCATGTACAACGACCTGCAGGTGGATTGGTGGGGTGGGAGGAGGGGGGTGGGTGGAGGAAGGGGGCTGGGGAGGGGAGGGTCAGGGCTGATGCTCTACGGATTTGGGGGTCTCGCAAGCATGCATGGTCTTGGGAGTTGGAAACTCGTGGACGGGCATCCGATGGGGCGCTATGCAGATCGCGGGTAGGTACAACAGGACCGCGTCTCCCCCTCCCTGCCCCCCCACAATCCTCCCCGACCCCTCACACCCCTCACACCCCTTCCGCCTGCCGCCTGGTCCCAGGGTGAGCTCCAGCAGGAGGTGCTGGCGCACGTGACGCGGGAGGGGCGGCGCGTGGCGGCGGCCTTCGCACGGCACGCCGGCCCCTCGGCCCCGCCGGGCGTGGTGCTCAAGGTCCTGTCCGACGTGGACGACACGCTGTTCAGCTCCGGTGCGCACTGGCCGGCGGGCGTAGACGCGCGCTACCCGCGCAAGTGCTTCTACCCCGGCGCGCTGGCCTTCTACGCCGAGCTGGACCGCTGCTTCGCGGCGCGGCACGCCGGCGCCCTGGCCGCCGTGGCGCAGGAGCTGCAGCTGGAGGAAGCCGTGCAGGCCGCGCTGCAGGGGGCGGGGGAGGCGGGGGCGGGCGACGCGGGGGCGGGCGACGCGGGGCCCGGCGACGACACGGCCGACACCGCCTCGTCGAGACCGGCGCCGGGGTCA